TGGCAATAGACAGGTCGCCGTAATGCTGGACATGCGATAGAGTGGTCTTGGTTTTGGTCCACTGGAACTGGTCCTCGAGGGTAGTCGTGTCAGTGGCCTGTTCTGCCTCTTCCATCCAATGGATACTATACTCATCGCCCAGGTATGTGCCCAACTCGGTGTCGTCATACCAGGCATAGCTGGATTCATTGGGACTGGAGGCAGTTGTAGCGTAAATGTTGATGTCGGTTGGCAGCAGTTTTTCGAACATGGACCCTGGTCATTTTGCAAGTTATTTATTATTTCAGTATGACTTTGTGTCTAGTATATTATTATATTTTACTAGTGTATGGTATTCTAGCTTTATTTAATATTTACTGGTAACTTATATAATTTTAGTTTTAATTAAATTTTTTAATTTTAAAATATTCACTATTTATATTTTTACTAATCTATAATTTAGGAAGTTTTCAAACGATTTTATTAATTTAATTAGCCAATAACAGGGAATAATATTCCACGAATACCCAACTATATTTTAAATGTTTAAATTTGAAATATTATAGTGATCCTTAGGGCTATAACTTACAGTTTACTATAATATAATGCTAGTACTAGTACTATATAATACTGATTTATTATTTTTGTAAAACAATAGATCAAATATGATCCAAAATAAAAAATCGTTTACATCATGTGTCAACTTAATGCTATATACTTTAAATTATCAGTTCACGCTGCTCATAGCACTTAACTATTGAAATGACCATGATAATGAAAATAATAAACTTAAGTGCCTACAAATCAAATCACTATTGTGCCTAGAATATCCAAACATATGACTGATAAAGAAAAGTTATCTATCATAAAATTGTACTCGTAGTTTTTAATAATAATAGCTGAGCTATGCAAACAAACGTAAAAATATGTTCAAGCTGCTAATATGATACATACCGGCTTCGCAGGCCTCAATGTAGAAAACGAGCTTGTTGTATTTTTTCTGGGTATGCATTTCCTTAAGGGTTGAGGTGAGGTTTTCACCGTACAAATAGGTCTTGGGGAAAGCAACTAGGTCAACACCACCATGGTCATCAAAAAAGACAAACACGTTGTCGTTGGGTCCCGAGTTCAGTACCTTTTTACCAGAGCTCTCCAAATCCTTGTCCCCTAACAGGGCCTTCAAAAAGTTCTGTAAAAATAAAAATTAAATTAATTTTTTATTCATAATTGATGTTAAAATGTACACAAGATATTACGGTGTGTAATAGTTATTATTTAAAATTATTTAAAAATAATTATTTACCTGAGGAGTGACATCATCACCGGTGTAGTCCTTGGGTACACCGTGGTAGACATCCTTGTGGTCGGGGTTATTGAACACTTTACCAGGGTATTTATTTTCCTTATTGTTAGCAATGTCATCGTAGTGGAAGACAATGATATTCTCATCGGGGATACCGTTAGCCTTCACTATTTGGTACGCGTGGTATATGTCGGCCTATAGGGTAAATTATTTATACATTAATAAAGATTTTTTTTAATAAATTAAAAATGTACCTGATGTCTGTAGTTCCACCAGGTGTTTGAGCCAGCAACTAGGACAACCCAATTTTTGCCACCGTTTTCATTGACTGGCAACGAGTTTACAGCTAAAACAATAGCCGACAGTACGAGTAATAACTTCATAATTATTAAGAGTATAATTAACTAGTTCAAATAAATTAATTATATAAAGTGGTTACAGAAATATTGACGGTTTATATACCCAGTGTGACAATGAAAACTTTATCAACATTTAACTATTGTGTCGTGCAATAGCCTTATGATTATAAAAATACATTCTTAAAAAATAATTCGTAGAAAAGTTCACCTGATAATATAATTATAATACGGTATTATACAAGTTCACTTATTATCACTATTTTATTATTGTCAATCTATTAATATAGTACTGTATAGTATATTGCATGTGTGCCTGGTTAATTTTGCAACTTATTAAAGGTACAATGTAAAAATTCAATGAACGAAGTATTTTACTACAATCATGTGAAATAGTTGATTATTAGATATCTAATATTAGTGGTATTAGGGGATGTAGTTTTAAGAAATTATATTTTAAATTAGCAAATAGTTTTGAAACCTTATTTCTGGTAAAACTTTAAATAATTCACGCACTTATCCAGTAAAAAAATCAGCTCCAGCACCAAGCACATTGGTTCACATTTTGCAATTGGAGATAAAATAGCATGTAAATATGTTATAGACGTACAAGAATTTTGAACTTATACAATTAGTAAAGCAATAAGTATATAGAATTGATTTACTGTACATACAAGTTTACCCCATTACTATAATATGAAAAATGGCTAATTTAGTAAATTTTTATGTATAGTATTAGTAAGTAGTTAAATATTTCAAGTTTACATGTGCTTACTGTGCATGTTATTAATTTCTGTACAAAAATATGTTGCTCCAAATATATTTCTTATTAATTAATTTACATTAGTAAAATTAGTATTTAACAAATATATCCCGTATAAATTGTCCTATTATGTCTTATTAATTCAATCAGTGAAGAATTTGAGTCTAAAAACAAAACATCTAGTTCACAAACAAATAACAAATTTATGCAAACTGTACATAAATCCTATAAACACTAAATAGACATGCACTTACTTAAAAATAAATAGTATTGGAATAGGGATGGATTAATGTCTAACATATTATATTAGAATCGTATAAAATTTTAGCCCATGTTCAATTGTGCAAGTCCCGTTTTATTAAAAAAAATTAATGTAAATACTTTAAATATTTATATTTTTACTAATTTAAAAATGTAAAAAAAATATTATTAATTAACATAGCCCCATCAAGTCCACTATTTAAAAATTTTATACTCTGAACTGTTGTAATGGTTAACGTTATTATGTTTTACAGTTTACTAGTACATAGTGAATACTGACTTACTAATTTTTATAAAACAAAAAATGATAAATTTATTATTCAAGATAAAAATAATCTATAAAGTTTTACATAAAGTGTCTACAAGTATCAATGAAAATTGTTCAAACACATGTAACCATACATCTGATCTTGCGGGTGGTAAAACGCTGTAAAACTTATAATATTTAAACTGTAATCATAACATAAATCATATATTTTACTGCATAATTAGACATAAAATAACTGTAATTGTTCAAAAAAAATTAAAATAAGTAAGAATTTAAGTAATAGTCAACATGTAACTTTATTTAACATTGATTGTTACAAAAGTTTATTTATACATCAAGAAATTTTTTATATAATATAAGCGGGGTAAGCCATGTTTTGTTGGCAGTAGGACACCAGTTGGGTGAGGGCAGCCTCGGCACCGGCAGGTGAGCTCTGTTCGCAAATGTTCACAAAGGTTTGCAGTTTACCCAAAACGTATGAATTCTATGGAAATGTATAGAGAATTGTGATTAAAATCTAATTAAATAATATAATTATTGATAAAATTTTAAAATAACATTCTCTGTATAGACTGTAAATAAATTCTACAAATGATTAAAAGTAACATGATACCTATTACATTAATTATTTGGAGTACGTTTACTGTACTATTTTTATAAAATACATAATTTAATATCTCTACTTCTAATAAATTAATATTTTATGAATAATTAATTCGATAAAATTATTTTAGGTGTTTCCAAACATAAACCACACATACCTGAGCGATATTCATGCACTGGTCGTGGAAAGTGTCGACAAACTTGTGATAACACTCTCTGTTGTTGAGCTCCGATCGGGTGTTAAGGACGTCCCCATTCACCAGATGCTCAACACTGTTAACATAGGCAGCGAAGTGTGTGTCCAAAAACTGTCGGCCCTTAACGAGGTTCTCGAGGTCCTCGCCCTTAGCCATAGCCAACGGCACGTCCTTATTGTCGACTGCGGTTCGGCTGTTAGATCGGGTCACAGGTGTCGCCGATTTTCTTTTACCTGTGTTTCGTTCAAACAATAAATTAATTTTAAACAAAATTCAATGTATTTTTAAAAAATTTCAATGTACCAGTATATTATTTAATTTTATCACATAATGTATAGATATTTGAAAAATAATTATTTTATAAACACGCTTATTACTTTTAATTATTATATTTCTACATCTATAAAAACTATGCAATAAGTCATAATTTTTATTAGTTAACCATATTTAATTAACCTAGACAGATTTTACTAAAATAGTATTAATATTAGTGGAGTGGAGGGATTTCCAAACTTCTAATTTAAAATATTATAATTAAACTCAAATATACTTCAATATTATTTTACAGCTTATCACTTCATAATCTTACACTGAACATCTAAATATCCCTATGGTAAATTACTACTCGACGTAGCAAATGTAGGTTCATAAGATTTTTATAAATAGGAGTTATTGTGTACAAACCCAAGAATTGAGACAGGGGCAATTTGGCAATAGACAGGTCGCCGTAGTGTTGGACATGTGATTTGGTAGTCTTGGTTTTGGTCCACTGGAACTGGTCCTCGAGGGTAGTCGTGTCAGTGGCCTGTTCTGCCTCTTCCATCCAATGGATACTATACTCATCGCCCAGGTATGTGCCCAACTCNGGACCAAAACCAAGACCACTCTATCGCATGTCCAGCATTACGGCGACCTGTCTATTGCCAAATTGCCCCTGTCTCAATTCTTGGGTACGTACACTAAGACTCTTATTTATATAAATCTTATGAACCTGTATGTGCTAGTGTCCGAGTAATTATCTAAATTTAAAATATTTATATGGTAGTGTATATTGAATAGTAATTTATGTGTTTAGTGTAAGATTATGGGGGAATAAACTGTAAAATCATATTTAAGATTAATTAAATACCTAGAATTATGTAAGCAGTCGAAAAACATTGATAATATTTTAGCAAAATCTGCCTAGGTTAATTAATAAAGATTATGGTTATTAGCTATATTTATTATAAATTTAACAAAATAGTAAATTAAAAGTAATAGTTTTTATGTAATAATTATTTTTATACATTTATAAATCATGAGATTATATAATTTAATGAACATTACAAATATTTATATAACGAATTTTGCTTAAAATTAATTTATTGTTTGAACGAAACACAGGTAAAAGAAAATCGGCGACACCTGTGACCCGATCTAACAGCCGAACCGCAGTCGACAATAAGGACGTGCCGTTGGCTATGGCTAAGGGCGAGGA